GTTAATTTGTGCAGTGTGTATTTTTTCAGAGCCAGGCTGCCTGGGAAAGATACACAATCCAAGGAAAAAAGAAATTTGGATCATAGTAGAACCTGCATATTCAGTTTTCTGGCATAGAAATGGTGTGCGTGAGGTGAAATAGTGATTGGAGAAAATAATCTCGACCACTTTGGAATTCACAAAATTTAATTTTGCACTCATATTTACCATATATGGTATTTATTGACACATGTATGGGGTTTTCTAGAGTGCTAACTACATATTTAAAAAATAAGTCCAAACCTTAGCCGTGATTACTTCACACGGCACTTCACCACGATGGGCTGCCATTATGGTTTGATAAGCACCGATGATTCCATCCAAACTCTTGAGGCGGCCATTTTCAGCAAGCAGCACTGTGGAATAGAAGTACTTCAATTGTTTCGATTCATCTATGATGAATAATTTACTCTGGGTTCATAAGTCAATGTTTTATGCTGCTACATCAGCAAAGATGTCTTCTGTCTATACTTACGCAACAGATTTGTAGACTGAGAAGACAAAGGAAATTTAGAAGACACTTGTTTCAAACCTTCAACCTTCAGCTGGCGCTTCAATGTGGGGTTCTCAATAAATTCACGCAGCTTCACATCCGTTTTCAATGTGCCCTGTAACATTTCCAGAAGTCGTGCATCAGCACTAGATAGGGGTGAGCAGTCAGTATATACATGCTAAATCTAAAAAATGTGCATTAATTTTTTCAGATTTAATTTGCATTATTCAATGCGTAGTATATTACACTGCAAGGCATAACTTTACATTTGGTTACAAGATTCAATACACCATGGCTATTAATTTGGGATTTAACTAAACTAATGGGGACATTAACGTTTTTAACCTGTCATTGCATTGCAAATCTGTACCTGCAGAAACATTACTATGATAAAATTTATACAATTAGACTGTTACACATGGGAAATTTCTGTGAATCAGAAAAAGTATAGGAAAATCTATTTTCAAAGAATGTGGATTAGAATACAAACAATATATATTAAGCTTACTGACTACATAACATACCTTAAATTTAACAAGTTCTTTTTCCACGGTATCTAGCTGATTCTGCTTGCTGGCAGCAGAAAAGAGGGCAGTAGCATATCGTCCTTCAATTCCAAACACTTGAATAGGAGGCTAAAATTAAATGACTAATTATTAAGCTGCAGTACCTGTATGCTTAAATATGTTTTGATGGAAGATTTACAATTTGAAAAATATTTGATATAGAATGAAAATGTAAGTACCCATACAAACTCAGGCACTTAATTCATGTATATTTAACAATGCAGTACAGAAAAAATATGTAAATTATACTGTAAAAGACTTGGAAAGGACACTGGGGAAAGGAAGCCATGCACAAGATGTTATTGTAGGATATTACCTTGCCATGCATTTGTATAGGCTTCAAGAAGGTTAGGTCAAACACTCAGAGTCAACGAAATTTTAAAGTTTCCCCCTATTATTGTAACAACTTACTTTTACTAATTGCTGCTGACCAGGTGAAGTAGAAAATGCCCTCGCCTGAAACAAGTACACCCTACAGTAAATAAATGCACTAACAAAATTAATTAGTCGTACTTCAATATTTATTTATTTCAAGGAAATTATTGGTGTATGCAGTTATATGAAGCACAAGATACAGCGCATTACAATTATTTGCTTCTATGGTATACCAGATAATTAAAATACGTAACTACTCACAATAACACGCATTCTACAAGCCGCCATTTTCGCCTTCTTGAATAGCAAGAGACCTAGCAACCACAGATGTATCGATGTCTCTGCGCCGTTGCAGGTGTACCAGAGATTGAATCATTTAACGTAAAAGAAAATAGTTGCATATTATTAACTAATTATTAAGTACATTGCAATGTGTTTTCAATGTTGTGGAAGTTTGAAATTAATGCATTGCCTCACTACTAGCTCGAGATTAGACCGTTCATGTCTGTCAGTCTACAATTATACGTTTTAATTTTCATCTTTTAACCACACGGACATGACGAATGCGTTCAAGGCTTCCTGCATTCCGTGTTTTATTGTTACATGTTTTCAACATCTAGTCCTTCCAGTGCCCCTGATTTCAAGGGTTACACGTTTTCAGCTTTACATTTTTTTGATATATGGTGAAGAGTAAAATTATGATACATGCTGTGTAATTTTTTCTCTACTATTACTCTTTTCTAGGTTAAACATAACTTAATTCAACCATTCTGATTTGGCAGTAAAATTAGTTAATGTTCATTATATGAATGTAGGTTCTTGGTGCATGCTGATATGAATATGTTGACAATTCTCAATATCATACTTTTAAAGCCTCTTTGGTTGGTGCTACTGTTAACGGTAGTATGTGAGTGTCTTTTGTTTATTCAGTGTCCTGGACTAACATGGCGAAGAAGTAATGTCAGTAGTATGCCAAAATGAATTCGTGGGACAGCGCTTTAGGAGACAAGACTAGCACAGTGTTAGTGTATGTGTTAATTCCTGCAGTTTTGGGTCTAGTAGCAGCATGGAGTGTCCATGGAAGGCGGAGTAATTCGGTGCCCGTACATTCAAATGGTGTCAGTCGTCGAAGAAAAATTGTTCGAGATCCAGCTGCTGGACGTCGGACGCCAGTACTACCGCTAATTGTAAATGAGCCTAAAGCTTTGCCACCTTAATTAAAAATTAATTAATTCAGGTACATCGCCTAATTGTTCAGACTATAGTAAGATTGGTGGCTTTCTACATCGGATTCCCAAGATTCCATCTAAAGCATAACGGAAAACGTGAGGGTAATGGATGTCATTTTGTATGCTTTGAGAGCTTGTTGCGCTTTGCTGAGGTTCTGGTTTCTAAGTGCAAACGTGAGGGAAATATGTCACAAGATTAATTAAAAATTATATTACTTGTACAGTAAATCCGAATATTCCCTAAATAAATATTTTCTGTAACTTAAAAGACGAAACTAGCAGAAGGAATGTGGGTGTTCGTTTGGTGTACCTGTGTGCGAAATTACATTTGAAAAATATATTCCGGTACTACCAAACTGAATTGCTTAAAATTTTAAACAGAGATTTTGTTTTCAACGTTGATTGAAATTGTATATAATACCTGTTAACAATTCGAGAACACTACCAAGGGATGTATTGATTTTTACAAGGTTGGTACACGAAATAGGACAAAAAGCGTCAATATTCGGTTTGTGCTATAGGTTTGTCGGAAGATGGAATTTTTGGATTCATATTTTATTTGGTATTGTTAATATAAACGCATTATGTTCGTTTGTGTTATGTTTGATGTACCGTTTCATTTTTGCTGGGTTATTTTCTGAATGCATGATTGTGTAAGATTGATGTATTGAATTACAGAACCTGATGAGGTCAGTTTGCAACTAACCTGTACATCACTTACTGTTGTTAAAAAAGTAAGGGTTTGTTGTTTATGATAAAGACTTAGAATATTCATTTTCAGAAAGGAACCATATCCAGATCTGAAGACCACTCTGTGATGCCTAGTGGAAGAAGAAACGTTGGTAGAACAAGTTCTAATAGACCTCCACCCCCACCACAATCCAACCAGCTCTTAAATGATGATACCCACAAGTCAAAGTAAGTTCTTTGGGTAAATTTTACGCTGTTGCTCCAGAATCTCCTCTTATAATTAAATCAAGTACAGCTGCCATTGTCAAAAATGTCATTTCTTCTCCCGTGCTTCTTGCGTATCTTGTTTGCATATAGTTCGTACTTTGTTGCTGTACGTCAGCTTGGCTCGTGTGTAAGTCTTGAATGTTTCTGAACGAAATTTGGTTTGAAGACTTAGTTAATTGCACCCATTAGTTCTTCTGTACATTAATGTCTTCAAATAAAGATTTGAGCAGGAACTGACTAATGTTTGGATGTTTTACGTGAAATAATGACTTATTTGTAAATCAGTTTCTGTAATATGCATAATTAAAGACTGATAGTGATCTGTTTTGTTTCTTAGAACCTTTGGACCAGCAGAAAATGTTGGTTCGAAAGTGGTATCACCAAAGCACATTCCAATCCCGAGTATCCCACAAGATGGCAAATTTGTATTTGAGGTCATTATGTTTGTCTTTACGGGAATGACCTCTTTTCTTCAGTTTCTCCATCTTTATCGGACTGTATGGTGGTTACCACAATCGTACACGAGATTTGCCATGGTGAGTTTATGTTACTACATAATAGTCGAGGAATGTACATAAAATAAAAGGTCCTGTTATCAAATTTGTATTTATATAAATGTAAAGTAGAGTACAGTAAAATACAGTAAAGTTGTCCCACTATATGCCATATAGGCACTTGGGGGGAGAGGAGATATAACTCCTACTCATTCTTGACCTCGGCACTAGATGGTGTCAGCATAATGCCCCGGCTGGGTGGGCCCCACAACCTGTCTGGATACAGAGGCTAAAAAAATAATTATTTAGTGAGAATTGAATTAATATTGTACTGAAAACTTCGGGCCTGACGTAAGTTGGCGTCCAGGCATGGGCTGTAGGAGTATTTTTGATTGTGGAAGAGTCTGGGATAAAGTACGAGGCTTTCTCGTTTCTACTCTATTTGCATATTTTTCTTCTTCTTTTAACAGAACTTTTACCTGATTGATCCCTACTTGGTTGGCTTCATTGTAACCATTTTGGGTCGCCGGTTGGTGTATTGCGCTTTATGCAAGGTTTTAATGTGGTGGAGTCCAGCATCGTTGTGGCCAATTCTGCAACAGGTCCTAAGGTGACTTAATTTTTTTATTTATTTATTTAAACTTCTGCAGATAAGAGGAAGCCTTTTGAGAAGTTTGTTACAGTGCATGTGTGATCACTTGAAGAGGACCTCATGATATAGGATGGTGGCATTCACATCCCTTCCCTTTAAAAATGAAAAAATTGGGGAGGGGATTCAAGGATTTAGAGATTTTGTGGCAACCGAGCTTGATAAAATCTTCATGGGCAAATAGCCACGTTGATTTTGAGCGAAAGTTTTTTGCTTCAAATCGATGAGGTTGTCGAGTAAGACCACTAGTAAACATGCTCTAAAGAATTGCAGTGGTTAATTTGTCAGCATTTTTTCCTCATTATTGTTCAACTGATCGTGATGAATGTCGAAGGAAGTCTGTTATTGTATCCACCACTCTGAGATGTTCGTAAATTTAAATGTTTTGATAATGAAGTATTTAAAAACATTTTTCATAAAATTGCAAATGTTGTTTCGTTGCTAATTGTGTCGATATGTTCGTGTAATTTATGCCTCGTCAGAGCTTTCTCGTGCACTGAGTTACTTTTTTTTCCTTCAGGTTACTACTCTTGGGGCTTGTTCTCTCTTCGTTGGTGTTGTGTGCATACCATATCATGCAGAGTCACCCGATTGTAAATATATTTTATTTATGTTATCCGTAAGTATTACCAAATTTTATTTCAGCTTTGTATTGGACTATTACATGTAATGGAGGAAGTAAATACACAGCTACCCATAGAATTTGTAAAAAAGAAATATTACAGCGCTGACTGCAAAAACCGTGTTCTTCGAATTTTATACTTGAAGATCCGTTCCAACTTCTCTCTTACCAACCGAATGATCAGGGCTCTTTGGGGAGACCCTGCAAAACGCTGACCTGAGACTGTAACAGGATTCTGGTTATAAGACGTGGAAATCTGATGACTTTGTTTTGGCATTTGATGTAATCATGTGTTTGTTAGCGTGAATTATTTTGTATTCTACAGAATATCTGTCTACTTCATATTGTTCGGTTTAAGCGTCAGCCCCTTCTTTGATGTTACGTCTTTGCCTCCGCTTATGAAGGAGGAATGCAAAGGAAGAACGATCATGTGTAAGTATAAGTCAAATTATTATTTGTTCTCTCTTGGTAAAATCAGACGGCAGTAATTGATATTTTCTGTACCGTGTGTGGACAGTATTAAAATTTTTGTTAAAGAAATATTTTTCATATTTTGAAATGATTTCTTCTTGCTGAGGGCAGGGATCAGTAGCAGATTTATCTGAACATTATCTTGAACCTAAGGTGAGAAATCTTATGACTGTATGAACGACTATTAGCGTACACCCATTGGCTTGTGAACCTTCTTCTTCTATGGCTGTCCGGTCCTCAATTCTCCTCTTCCATTCGGTCCTCTGTTAGGTCTGTCTGTCTGAGGCTTTGATCGAGGTTTTGAAACATCTTCCTTTTTACGGTGCAAGGTTGTTAGCCTTGCGACCAACCCCCAACCTGGAGGACCAGGGTACCTGTCTTAGTCTGACCTCTCCCCCTCGACCAATCTGGCTAGGGAGGCTCTACCAGTAGCTATGCTACTGCCACTGAGGTACTCAAGCCCCACCACCACGACAAGGTGCAGGTACCGTGAAGTGGATTGTGAACCTTCCATATCTTTCTGCTTAGTGAAGCCTCCCAAAACAAATATAAATGCCAGTGTAAGTGGAAATGTAGAAGCTATGAAAAGGGAAAGAATAAAATCTATTTAAATGACATACGTACAATTGTCAGTGATGAAACTTTGGGTTCCCTAACCCATCTAGTTGGTTAGTTAGTATACATTTGTCAGAGTCCTTAATTTTACTTGCAGTAATCTGAGGAATAAACCGCCACGGTGGTCTAGCGGTTAGAACACTGGCCTTGTGATCCTGGGGTTCTGGGTTCGATTCCCGGCGGTGCCCGAATTTATAACTTGTGTTGGGCAAGGCCGTGGTCTAGGCAACACGGAGTTTTCCTCCGGGGCTTCCCCGGTTTCTCCATGGCATCCCAACAATTACTCCATTCACACAGAAGAAGGCAATGGCAAACCACTTCTGGATCATCTGCCAAGAACGTATATGAACAGGTCCCAGTCCGAGAAAAGGACGGAACAATCCCGTTCATAATATGTCGCCAACTCCTGTAAAGGAGACGGCGTAATAAAGAAGAAGAAGAATCTGAGGAATACATCTCTTGTTAATGCAGAAGTGTTTCTGTATTCCATTTCTGATTTTCTTTGCCGACGTCATGAATGAGTCTTTTGTTCCAGGTAAACCCTTACATAATTGTTCAATGTCTCCTCAAGCAATCAGAGAAGAAGTTGAAGTACTGAAGACAGACTTCAATAACCGGATGAAGCAGATTTTATTCAGCTCCGTTTTAAACGCGTATTATGCCGGTTTTGTCCCGTGCTGCTTCGCTCAGGTAATTACTCCTAAAATGTTGACCTACGCATGTACAGTCGGAGTTGGCATTTATTTTTGTATGTATAATCTAAACTTTCGTGGTGACAGCGTACTAAAACGGTTATGTGTTTTGTCTCTCGCAGAGCTTCTTGTACTACGACGTGTACTGGGCCACGCAACATTTGGCGTTTGTTTGGGTTGGCTGTTTCACGATGTATATTGTGCACTGTTACCCGGCCAAGTAAGTGCATCCCCAAAAGCATATCTGAATTTGTGTTAAGATATTCAATTATAAAACACCTTAACTTTACCTGTTCTGAGCGGTTGTGAAATAGGTCCAGGGGGATGAAGTGATGGGGATGGAGAAAGCTTCATAACTTTTACTCTCAACGAGGTGGTGTTAAGATGATCAAATTTAGGACGACGACAGCACAGCATGTAATGTTTGGGGAGATGAGAAACGTGAAGAGGCCACACATTAAAACATGGCATAATTGAGAGGATAATATTAAAATGGATCTTAAGGAAACAGAACTTGGAGGTGTGGACCAGATGCATTTGGCTCAGGGTAGGAATGAGACATGGGCTCCTGTGAACACAATAATGAACCTTTGGGTTAAAAGACAGGTGTGGAATTCCAAATGTACTGTTGTCTTCTCAAGAAGGTGTGGATTCTGATCCATAGAGTTGATTAAATTCTCGTACACTGATGTAATATTGTGTTGGAAACCTAATCTGTGATTTGCTGGCGCTACGTGAAAAGTTTTTGTCTGTATCAAAACAAATAAAAAGAAGAAGAATTAATTATTTTTTTAAAGAAAATTTTGGTTTTATTTCAGATATTGTGATGTCCTACATCGGGCAGCGCTACACTTAGGACGTTGGGTCAGAATTGACGGCCGGCCTTCCCACATACCGGCTCATATGTGAGTGTTTAAATACGCAGATGATCTTTATGCGGCGATAATCGAGTGTATTTTATGCCGTCCGTGTTCTTGTCGCCTTTGAACGGACTCGTTCCAGATTGGACTGTCTCGTCGCGTCGGCCGCGTCTGCTCTCTATATTTCTGAAGTTTGACCTGAGCTCCTACCATTTTTTTTATAAATTCTTTGATTTATGTTAGTTCGTATTTTGGCCCCAGTACATTACAAAAATGAACATAAGTATATCGTACGATTTGACATTCTTACGGCGGTGAGTCCGAAGACGGCTGTCTTCTGGGATGTTGCGCCATGTAGTCTGGTAGAAGGTTACCATTTCTTTAGAGGTCCTTGCTGCCTCCATCATCAGGGTGCATTTGTAATCTGTTTCTATCATCCTCTCCCTTGCATCGTCGTCCTAATATGCTGATACGCAATATAAAGTACAATTAAATATTGTATAAAGTGAAGCTTGAATATTATTTTTGCTTTTACCAGGTGGGCTCATTCTACACTTTGGCACCAGGGGGCATTTGTGAAACACTGCAGGGAATTGTATAAGGCAGAAGGAATTTCAAATGCAGCGGAGGTTCGATTCCCGGCGGTGCCCGAATTTATAACTTGTGTTGAGCAAGGCCGTGGTCTAGGCAACACGGAGTTTTCCTCCATGGCATCCCAACAATTACTCCATTCACACAGAAGAAGGCAATGGCAAACCACTTCTGGATCATCTGCCAAGAACGTATATGAACAGGTCCCAGTCCGAGAAAAGGACGGAACAATCCCGTTCATAATATGTCGCCAACTCCTGTAAAGGAGACGGCGTAATAAAGAAGAAGAAGAATCTGAGGAATACATCTCTTGTTAATGCAGAAGTGTTTCTGTATTCCATTTCTGATTTTCTTTGCCGACGTCATGAATGAGTCTTTTGTTCCAGGTAAACCCTTACATAATTGTTCAATGTCTCCTCAAGCAATCAGAGAAGAAGTTGAAGTACTGAAGACAGACTTCAATAACCGGATGAAGCAGATTTTATTCAGCTCCGTTTTAAACGCGTATTATGCCGGTTTTGTCCCGTGCTGCTTCGCTCAGGTAATTACTCCTAAAATGTTGACCTACGCATGTACAGTCGGAGTTGGCATTTATTTTTGTATGTATAATCTAAACTTTCGTGGTGACAGCGTACTAAAACGGTTATGTGTTTTGTCTCTCGCAGAGCTTCTTGTACTACGACGTGTACTGGGCCACGCAACATTTGGCGTTTGTTTGGGTTGGCTGTTTCACGATGTATATTGTGCACTGTTACCCGGCCAAGTAAGTGCATCCCCAAAAGCATATCTGAATTTGTGTTAAGATATTCAATTATAAAACACCTTAACTTTACCTGTTCTGAGCGGTTGTGAAATAGGTCCAGGGGGATGAAGTGATGGGGATGGAGAAAGCTTCATAACTTTTACTCTCAACGAGGTGGTGTTAAGATGATCAAATTTAGGACGACGACAGCACAGCATGTAATGTTTGGGGAGATGAGAAACGTGAAGAGGCCACACATTAAAACATGGCATAATTGAGAGGATAATATTAAAATGGATCTTAAGGAAACAGAACTTGGAGGTGTGGACCAGATGCATTTGGCTCAGGGTAGGAATGAGACATGGGCTCCTGTGAACACAATAATGAACCTTTGGGTTAAAAGACAGGTGTGGAATTCCAAATGTACTGTTGTCTTCTCAAGAAGGTGTGGATTCTGATCCATAGAGTTGATTAAATTCTCGTACACTGATGTAATATTGTGTTGGAAACCTAATCTGTGATTTGCTGGCGCTACGTGAAAAGTTTTTGTCTGTATCAAAACAAATAAAAAGAAGAAGAATTAATTATTTTTTTAAAGAAAATTTTGGTTTTATTTCAGATATTGTGATGTCCTACATCGGGCAGCGCTACACTTAGGACGTTGGGTCAGAATTGACGGCCGGCCTTCCCACATACCGGCTCATATGTGAGTGTTTAAATACGCAGATGATCTTTATGCGGCGATAATCGAGTGTATTTTATGCCGTCCGTGTTCTTGTCGCCTTTGAACGGACTCGTTCCAGATTGGACTGTCTCGTCGCGTCGGCCGCGTCTGCTCTCTATATTTCTGAAGTTTGACCTGAGCTCCTACCATTTTTTTTATAAATTCTTTGATTTATGTTAGTTCGTATTTTGGCCCCAGTACATTACAAAAATGAACATAAGTATATCGTACGATTTGACATTCTTACGGCGGTGAGTCCGAAGACGGCTGTCTTCTGGGATGTTGCGCCATGTAGTCTGGTAGAAGGTTACCATTTCTTTAGAGGTCCTTGCTGCCTCCATCATCAGGGTGCATTTGTAATCTGTTTCTATCATCCTCTCCCTTGCATCGTCGTCCTAATATGCTGATACGCAATATAAAGTACAATTAAATATTGTATAAAGTGAAGCTTGAATATTATTTTTGCTTTTACCAGGTGGGCTCATTCTACACTTTGGCACCAGGGGGCATTTGTGAAACACTGCAGGGAATTGTATAAGGCAGAAGGAATTTCAAATGCAGCGGAACCAGGAAACCAGACCCACGCCAGATTCTATGTAAGTACGCAGATTGCGACCACTTGAGACCGAGGTCTTTTTGATGACCTATGTGAAGATGGCTGTCTTCTGGGATGTGTCGTGTAGTCTGGTGGATATTGGCTCGCTTACAGCCTCCTCCACTGTTTCCCTGATGATGGAGGCAGGAAGCTCTTGTGAAACATGTGATTTTGACATTTTGGGGTTACATCTGCAAAATATTTGTTGCTATGAATTTTTTTTTTCTTGCAATTGTGTGCTCGCACATTTAGATAATGTGTATGTGTTCTTCACGTTGGGTTATTGCCAAATGATGTGATGAGCTGCAAGGGATGACTGAGGCCCTTGGGCTTCAGGTTGTTGACCCCTGCTTTATTGGATTGGGTCTTTATTTCTTTCTTTCTCTGTCCAGTCTCTTACAGAACTTTCACTGACATCTTTTCTAGCAGCGACATGATTACATCTTGAATTGTTTTCAGTTTTCCACTAACTGTTAAGGATTTGTAAGTGCACGTTTTCAGTACTCGTATTTAGTGGAACATCTCTGCATTAACGTCCGCTAGTCTTCTGTGGCTGCAGGGTCTTGGCACTCGAGTACACATGAGGATGTTACGAGATTTAAGGTTACGCTTGAAATGAGCTGTGTCGTCAAACTCGTCGTGAATTTAATTTTTGGTTGACCTTGTTTTTAGATGAATGTGCGCAGAATATTAAAAGCCTAGCTCAGTCGGTATAGTGGCTAGCTACAGGCTAGACGATCAGGGTTCGATCCCTGACAAGGGCAGAGGATTTTCTTCTAGCCTCTGCGTCCAGACCGGCTGAGGGGTCTATACGGTTGGTACCCGGGTCCTTTCCCTGGTGGGGGTGAAGTGTGGCCAGGGCGCGACACTGACCTCCATCTAATGCTGAGGTTGAGAATGTGTAGGAGCTATACCTGCTCTCCCCTCAGGTGGCTACATGGTGTGTAGCGGGACAGATTTCTTATCATACGTCACCGTATGGTCCCGTTGCAAGTGGCGCTACCGTTGATGTCACCTTATGAGTTTGTTCATCATCGTAGAAAATTTAAAAGTATAATTTTAGGGAATAATGTCCGTATCAGACGATATCCGACGCCGCCGAGCGTCTCTCGATCTGAATCGCGCAGATGGCCAGATGCGATCGAACCGTATCTGTTCATTTCTCCCGCATTGTGCAAAGTCTGCATGAAAAATTATCTTAAAACTTATGTTTGGGAGAAAGGTGGTAATTTGGTCAGTCGTCTTCATCTGCCGTAGAATCGTAATATTTTCATGTTTTATTACGTGTCGTGAAGCGAAGTGCGCAGTTTTTATGTCTGTGTAATTTTGGCGTTTCAGGCGGTGTTCAACAACCCGTCAGTTTTTCTGTCCTCGCTTTGGGGCCTGCAGTTGTCTCTCGTTATAATACAGATCTTGATTCTGGCCTCCTCGTCGGAGTGGTATCACGTCGTGTCTCTCGCCCTTCTGCTCTTTGCAAACTATTACACTTTGTTCAAGCTGTCTCGGGATTATTTGATATGTTGGAAAGTTTACAAGGCGGAGCAGATGATCCAGGACAAAATAGGAGGCTGACGTGCGGCGGACAGCTACGCGTCGCAACACGACCTGTTTCGATTATCTCTTTTGTGACTGTAATGTATTGACCGTGTAAAACTTTGTGCTTGTGTATCATTAATGAAATGTCATCATCATCCTGCATCATTACATGTCTTCGTCCATTCCATTAAAGTATCCTCAATCCTGACAGTTCCATGCCATTGGCCAATAGACATTCTTTTTAATATTATATTTAATTTTAGCTGCATGTGTAGGAGAGTGAAGTTAGGAGATTCTGGTGGACAGATGTAGGTTGTAGGGAAGGTAAGAGTGCATTTGATGGGAAAGATGAAAGGGCGACGCTTGACGTAGTCTGTGGGGATCTTAGGTGGATGAGGCTGACCCAAGGTCCTTTAATTTATACACTGCCATTTTTCCAGACTCCTTTCTCGCGTGTCGATGGCAGTAAACGTAGTCCTACTGTACGTGCACCACTCTATTCTAGATTAGCAGATGCCCTCGGGTTTAAGAGCGGAAATATTAAGGAAATAGCCGGTTTTATGATCGGCCCGTAAGACTCGTAATAAACTGGGAGTTTCTTAGTTGACTTAATTAACTGCTCTGTGGGGTTATCAGTAAGTCATTGCTGTGAAGAAAGTTCTTCCCTTATATATTAATCCTTTTTCGTGTTCCCCCACGTCCTTTCTACCTCATCGTCCTTGTTTTTAGACTTTATTGTCGGCCAGTAGCTTGTTGGATTCCCGGAAGATGCTATTACCGTAACAGGTACAGTATGAATTAAAATTTTTTGTGGGTTTAAATGTGTTTTAGTTGAGGAGTTGCCTTTCTGAATTTTTGGTACGATGGTCACTGGACTGGATCTTCCAGTGTCCTTGCTGGACAATTCATTGTAGTGTTTGGTGTTCGTGTTTTGTATTTTTTAAGTCCAGGGTTCAGGTACGTGCCTGAAAACTGTCTCGCGTGATCGATGATTTCCGTATCTTTATTTGGTCCCTCCACCACGTACCTGTGATTGGCCACGTCCTTTCCAGTCCGACATTTATACTCATCCCTCTGTATCTTGTGTAATTGATTAAGCAATATCGTTTCAAGAAAGAAAGTAAAAGCAACAGTGATCTTATTACACGATACAGCAGCGTCATTAATTGTAGCTTTAACTTGGGAGTTACGAACCTGTATGTACGATGAAAAATAGCTACCTGTTATGACAAAATACTTTGTTACATTCATCAGTGAGAAATTGTTTAGCATGCTGAAAAGCGTGAGATTCAGGCTTGAAAGTGTTAAAATCAGATAGGAACATGATTTTCCTCTGTATTTATATTTCTCAGTTTTTTAATACTTAACCTCTGTAGTTGAATGAGCAGCAGTAAATAACCAAAATACTCGTCATCTAACCATGCTTTGTAGTTATGTTACCATAAGAGCAATATGTTTTAAACATTTGATGCTGTGTAGCCCCCCGAGGTCTCGTAAGAATTTGTTTAATTCTCTTTACACAGATATATATTTATGTCAGAAGAAAAGTAGGTGAGTCATAATCACGAAATACCGTGGCCAGGGGTCAATTCAGGGTCAGTCTGCAGCGAGATGCTTTCTCTCCGATATCATATTGTCCAGCAGAACAGCGAATCATGAAAATGATCCGTGTTGTTCGTCCATCGATTCTCCGGTGATATGACAGATCTTTTGTGTCTTGGCTTATGACTTCCGGAAATGGCTGTAACGATTCGTATTCAACTATTGTTATATAGAGTCGTGACAAAATTATTTTTACCGAGAGTAAGTGACTCGATTTGGATCAAGAACGTTAAATATACCTCCAACAGTGGCTGATGTCTCATGGGTACCAACAATGAGAAAATTAAGTACTTTCTCATTTTTAATTTTATTCTGACGGGTGTCAACAGAGCATCTTTCGAATAAGATTTTGTGGGCGGGAGGGGGGACTGCCTCCCGGTTTAGATCTCGTCTTAAATACCGGTTATCCTGACTTATCGTGGGTTTTCTCATTCCATCCAGGCAACATTTCCCGTACGCCGAAATTACTGCGTCTAGGTTAGGTGTTTACTGTGTTTCGTGCTGTGGACATACCGCGTTTATTTCTCAGGTAGAGTCTTCCATGAAAGTGTTGGAATAGGCCGGACTACGTCGTATTCATTTGATAAAGCGATGTCGAATATATACTCACTAGAAATGTTAGGTTTCTCGGTTGAAACAACGCGATGGCACAGGAGAAACAAGAAATGCGCAAAAAAGTGTGACAGCTTGGGAGATTTTGGGCACAGGGTAGCATGTGGTGTTTGAATTTAGTGAACTTGAGGGATATTTTGATCAGCTGGAATAGTTGTTAATTGCTCTAGTTTTTTTCATAACCTGTAATACAGTGGTAAGTATATTTACCACCTGATTTAATATTCAGTAACTTTTTATTACTTACGAAGAGTATTTATGGGTTTCGTATTATTATTAAAATAAACAGGATTATTTTCTTAAACAGCGTTAACGAGTTGATCGTTGTAATGGTGAAGTGCTGTGTTTTCTTTGCGGTACGGGCTGGATTCTTATGTATAATTTACACGAACTTGGGTTTCAAGGGGGTAAAAGACCGTGGACTTGGAGAAATGTGTTGTTTGTTACTCGTGAAAGTTTGTTTTGATCGCTGCGTGGGTAGTGAAGTTTCAAATGATTATTCCAGAGCGTGGGACATGACGAGCCGTTTTGTTTCCACCACTGCATTCATTCAATTTTAAATGCGTTAATGGAACGAGGGGTATGCACACATTGTTAAATAGGAGTCGCTTAACGTAGAAATCTTCTCATAATTCATTTGCAGGCAATGACAAGTTATTAATTGGTTAAAATTGTCTTAAGATTTTTTTACCCAGCGGGGGCTGTCTCACGGTAAGTGTTCTGAAAGTGAAGGTCCATCTTCGTGACTCGAAATGACCATCCCTACAAGATTTTCTTGCCGTCTGTCGTGGTGAAGTCTCTGATGCTCTAATCCGGGTACTTGGATTAGTGTAAATTGTTTTTGACTTAATTTTAAGCTCTGAATATGGAGGCAGTTTGTTCCTCGGTTACGTTTTTGTCCACAAACAAACATGGCGTCTGACCAGAAGACAAACGTCAAAATCGTGCATCATTTTCTCACCACTTCGTTACTTGTTGCTGACGTATTGATGCGTGCTTTGGGCAGACCTCTTTTACGTGGAATGACAATATGAAACCATCTTGGTGGATATGAACAACAACAATGTAGATTTGATCCATTGTTTGTAATGTTGCTTCGTCATTAAGCATATTATTAATGTCTCGGTGTTTGCTTTCACTCGCGAATGGAAGGATTCGGGTACTGTACGTGTGCCCATGGATAGATCACTGATCTTAAAGAAGATATTTTATATAAGTTCGGTTTATTGTTATAGATGCTATCCGGAAGTGACGTCCTAATATCGTGACACTCCACAACAACTAAGGGAGTGTATATTTTTAGTGTCCTGCATATTTTAAGACTGGTAAGATCTCTTTCTCCTACGGGGCAAGTGGGGCATGTAATAATAAATTCTACATGTTAGTGGTTTGTGTGTGAATGGAGTAATTGTTGGGATGCCACGGAGGAAAACTCCGTGTTGCCTAGACCACGGCCTTGCCCAACACAAGTTATAAATTCGGGCACCGCCGGGAATCGAACCCGAGACCCCAGGATTACAAGGCCAGCGTTCTAACCGCTAGACCACCGTGGCTTTCAGTTCAAAGAAAGGCGAAATATAGGATTGATGCACTACATGAGACTTCTTGAACACGTCATCTTTTGTCATCATCATCATCAAACAGTCAAGGAGTGCAGTATTTTGCTAAATACGTCAACTCCATAGAAAGAGTGGCGTAATCTTACGTTAGAAATTGCGCTGATTTAATTACATGACAAATGACGAACGTGACAATCTGAAATGTCAGATTTCACGAAACAGTTTTCATTATTGGGTATTGCAGAAGACTATTATTACAGGAACATTGATATAATGGATTATGGTTTTGCGCAATTAGTAAATTAACTCACGAATGAAATCAATTTCCAGCGATTGACCAATACTGTCTGACATTTCAAAACCACGGCACAAGAATTGTTTTTTTTTAAAGTGTCTCTGGTAATTATTAGTATTATTAATGTCTCGCTAACGTCGGACTTGACAAGAATTTCAGAACATCGTCTGTTGTTGGTAACAAACGGTTTGTAGTTTGAAGTCGATTAGTTGGCAACTCCTGCCACGACTTTTTGAGTTTTGCTTAGAAGAAATGTTCACACGGGAATTCCATTATTTCATTCGATTGTTGAGGAAGACGTGTTATGAATCCGTAAACTCTTCGTTATTTATAGGCGCATTGACCCGTATAAACCGCAAAATACAATGCATAAGATGCAGAAGTGCGTTGTGGTTTGCAGACAATTTGTGTTAGGAGAGACTGTAATTTATTCTGATTCGTGATTTGTTGAAAGTCATTTTCGAGGTTGCATCAAACAACAAATCATATTCAGTGTTTAAATAAGAGACTACCATTTGCAGTTGAAGCTCGGCTAAATAATATATAAGAATTCAGCCCGTACCGCGAAGAAAACACTGCACTTCACCATTACAGAAGATCAGCTGATTAACGCTGTTTAAAGAAAGAATCTTTATTTACATTGAGAATCATACAAGACGCGTAACTATACTCAATGTAGTGTTTTCTTTGCGGTACGGACTGAATTATTAAGACAAGTTTCGGCTAGAAACTGTTCATCGGTGTCCTATGAACATCAACGTTATTCAGCGCTGCAGAATCACCCTATTGACGACATCACCTTTTATGGAAACAGTGGTCTGTGTTAACTTACTATCCCAGCATTCGAATAAGCATCGGAGAAAGGCTATAGTTTGTCAGTGGACACAGTGAAAAGATTTTCAACTTCTGTAAAAACTGGAAATTTATTGGACGACTGAGTAACCGTCAGCTGTTTAAGCAACTCTCTCTCTCTCTCTCTCTCTGCACCATGGAATCACGTGTTACATGAAGCTGACATTGAGCAGCGAATGAATTAAATCCGATTTCTCTCGTGTCAGAAACACTTTATGGCGGATAACCCATCGAGTAGACATCTCACTTTACGAAGAATTTAATCCCGAAGTGTTGCACAACTCGTTTGAGTGATGTGCTTGCTATTTTGATGTCTGTCACGACGAAGGATAATTGACAAAACCATCCATAAAGTTTATGCGTCACACGACAACGAACACGAAGAAATGAGGTGATGATGCCTTTCTTTTAACAGTAAACTTATTCTATGAGATCTTACCAACAGATAAATCTCTGGGGTCGGAGAAAATGTGGGAAACCCGGGTAAACGTGAAGTACTGTCATTCGCCAGCAGGTGAAGTTGCTGTTCTGTCCTTTTCTTGCAACAAAGGTATGCTTATTATTATTTAGTGTTCTGTCTGACGACAGGTCCATATGAACAGGATCCTTCCATCCTTTTCTCGGACTGGGACTGGGACCTGTTCATATACGTTCTTGGCAGATGATCCAGAAGTGGTTTGCCATTGCCTTCTTCTGTGTGTGAATGGAGTAATTGTTGGGATGCCACGGAGGAAAACTCCGTGTTGCCTAGACCACGGCCTTGCCCAACACAAGTTATAAATTCGGGCACCGCCGGGAATCGAACCCGAGACCCCAGGATTACAAGGCCAGCGTTCTAACATTTTTATTGTTTGTGATTTAAGTCAGCATGGAAAGTGTTTATTCAGTAAATAAACACATGTAAAAACGCCACAGAAATTCATCAAACGATGAATAGGTTTCAGTGTTGTTTAAATTAATCTCAGGCATTTACCGTAATTCATTTTTGAATTCATCGATGCTGAATCAGCCGTAAGATTACTCCATTGTTTCACGTAAAGCTCTTGAGTAGATTCTTGTCATGCTTGGTGTATTCGACAGATTGTGTTTTGCGAAACACAGAGACACAGGTTATGTCATTACGTACGTGTATTATAAATGTGCACGGTAGTGTGACATCGCTTGTGTGTTGGCTATGAAATTCATCCGCGTCGCATTCTTGCGGAAAATGAAATAATGAACCTCGGAGCCCGACAACCGTGTCATAATGTCTGCTGAGTAAAAACAGAAGACTGACAAGTTAATGTTTACCGCTTCGAATGTCGTCATAGTAACCACAATAACTGCTGGTATTGCTTACCAAAGCAATGACACCGCAGGTCCTCGAAGATGAAGATGGCTGTCTACTAGGTCGTTGTGCCGCCTAGTCTGGTGGAAGTTTACCGACGTTTCGGACGTCCTTGCTGCATCAAGCTCGTCTAAAACGTTGGTCAGTATCTACCAGACTAGAATACAGCCAACTTCCCTACGTCAATAGTATGTCCGATATGGCACCGAATTACAGGATGATTGTAAACTGGGCTTTCGTGGTCTGGTTTGAGGATTTATTCTCGTATTTGTCAAAAGAACGAAAATAAAAATTATACCCTGATAGTATCGCAAGTCGGTTTGTGACGTACACTTTGGTAAGCGATACCAGATTTCAAGGACACTCCGAGATACCGGGTGTACTCCACCTAGAACATGCCCGCGTTCCACCAAAATTTCCAGCTCACTCCTTGTGGAGGACTTCTCGATCCCACATGTGGCGGCCTTCAGAAGGTTTCAGTGACGTAACAGGGAGTTGAACCGACGTCATCTTGATGGGGGTTACCTAACTTCTTCGTCCGGTGCCTTATTCTGGTTGGTCAGAACACGGAGGAAGTTGCTTTGGCTTCTAGGGGCCTTGACCTCGTTTCATGACCGCTTTCATCTTGCGAACATTTTCTTTTCCTTTCCGCTAGGAGGCTCTGACTTCGCGTCCCACATCCCACGCATCTGACGAGTTCAGCGAGGAAACAAGAAGAAATGAAAGGGAGTCTGCAACTGCTGAAGATTCATCTTCACCTGGCTCAGTGGAAAGGGCATCACTTCTTGCAGTGGGTGCCTGGGATCAGTTTCTGTGTGACTTCGCAACAAGCAGTCAGTCTGCCCAGCGGCTGCGAGGGACAGTTAACTGGGATCTCTGACAATCAACCCGTAAGCATGTGCATTCTGTGTTACCGAGTGCCAGAGATTTTTAATCGTTTCACTGTCACTCCCGAGTATAATCGTCGGCTAAGTATGGTGCCAGCAAAGCTACTCTCGATTAAATTAATTCTGAATTTTTATGAGTTCGTATGTGAACGCTAAGGGAGATCAGTTCTGAAGCCAAACTGAACGAATCTGGATGAAATTTGGTATTGTATGTCAGTACTAGAACTTTTCAGGCTGGTCCATTAGTTAACAAATAAGAGACCATTATTTTCTTCATCATTACCGAAATGTGAAGATTCTACTTACGTTTTTCTTCTTAAAGGGATTGTTAAGCCTTCTGACCTGTCGCCGTATTCAGTTGAATTCGCCTTTCCGTCTATTCTTTGGTCTCGCTGTTCCACATTTACTTTTCTCCTTTAATGTTTCCGTCTATACCAGGATTCTTGACAACTACTGACTCCCATGTTTTTTCAGCAGTTACCCTATTTCACTTAAGACCATTTTAATATTATTATCCCATATACGCCTAGGTTTTTAAAATTGTAAATTTCCTTCAGGCGTCTCAACCAAAATTTTATACTCATTTCTGCTCGCTACGAGATTAGTAAATCGACAGATGGATTCATTTATGGGGAAAATTTATAGATGAGTTAAATTGGTAATTTTTTTTACCGGTATTATGGTAATCATGTAAGGAACTTCGTTTCCATTTCCCGTATTAGTAATTACCCTTTGGAATGTTTGTTGTTTTCGCAATTAAGTAACGTATAGTAGCCGCAGGTCGAGAGGATATTATGACACACAGCTCTCAGTTACGTTAGTGACTTCAGTAGAATTACGAAAACCTGCCGTACGAAGTTATATTATCATATCTCATATTTACAAGAAATTCAAATTTGGTCTGTTTTTCCAAAAGTCTGTATCACTAATATTACTTGGGTTTTGTACTGTTCTGAAACATAGTCTCTTAATTTTGGGGGAGGGGGGAATATTATAAATTACAAGTGAGATTTGAGGTCAAGACAGTGAAAATGGAGGCATTATTTTCCTCCGAAACGTTTGTACTCACCCACAAGTTCACATGGCATCGCAGCCCATAAGATCATAAGGGATTTTGATCACAGGAATTTTGTTACGTAAAATCTTAGCAACGATAACTCAAGAGAAGTGTACAAAAAAAGTTTTATTCGACGTTTTAATTACATTTTCAGTTTGTGGGAGTGGCACTCTGTAGCCTGTTTAATTTACTTCTCGGTATATCCTAAGGTACTCTCTCAAGTATTTGTCTGGAGGGACCGAGGAAGACCCTCGATCGGGACAGACGGCCCAAGATACTGACCACTCGTTACCAACTTTCGGCGGCATGTTTTTATTCAGTCACACGAACTGCGATAGTGTTTCTTAGTTACATGTGTAAAAGACGAAGCAGATTCTGGGCACGTGTTTCCGCCGTTTCGACACGTGAAGGCTACAGCGAGCTGTTGTGTTTCCCTTCTGCAACAGACAGAAACTTAGAAACTTCTTCCTGTACAGCGTCCTTCGATATTCTGTGCTGGAAACGTCCGTGCTCACTGGAGGGGAATGTAGAGGCGTGTTAGCGAGCAGGTTAACACATCTGAAAGGTATCCGATTCTAATTGCTGAAGACAGTCGCCATTCCTGTGGTTTTCCTCAGTTATTCTATGTATATCACGAGACCGTACCGTAAAGTAAACCATAGAAACTTTTTTCCAGTTTATGGTTGTTATAGTGTCGTAAAATAGTTCTTATAAGTCCAGTGGTATATCAACTGCTTTTAAAATAAATAACTCTTTATTTTTCCATCAGAATTTATCTATCAGGATTATCAAATTCTCAAAATAACCAATTAATCGTTTCCATGGAGACGCGTTATATATTTTTTTTCCTATGTCATTAAATAAACACGGGCTCACGTTTGGATCTCAACTTGTTAAATATAACTTAATTGTTATTGTCTCATATTTATGAATTTTGCTGTTGTTGGCTTTTTAGCTGCATTCTACGAGGAAGCCTCATTTGATGACGCAACTCGAGTTTCTTTTGTGCGTGTTTCTGTCGAGATACGAGTTTACGAGGTTACATGTGGAGTGTGAATTTTCCGACA